CGTGGCTTTATTTTAACCTCTATTTCTTTTATTTTTACTTTTAACTTTTGGCTTTTTGAGACAGGTTCTCTGTGTATCTTTGTCCTGGAACTCCTCTTTGTTCTTCTGACCCTATACATTCAACCCATCTTGTGCTCTGCTGTACCTAAGATAAAGTTCCAACCCTTAAAAACTGAACATTTACATCCGGAATTTGGATAACAAGATTCTGATGAAATTATTGTTACATCTGCACTGGTGTCTGCCAGATCTTCAATGACATTTATTCATATTTTTAATTTTGGTCTTTGTTCATTTATAGAAATTTGCTGAAATACTTGCTTTATGATATCTCCTGAATTTTTTGTTCTCTTTTCTATAGCTATTTTATTCTATTCTATCTCTATTCTATTCTATAGCAGTATGGTTTCTTAGAGTAGGCATTATGCTCTTTAATTTACTGTTAAAGTCAATCTTTGTAAGAAATCCATAAAGGCTTCCTTTGGGCCCTGTATAGCTTTAGTAAATGACTCAATTTTCTTTCCTATTTCTCCAGTTCTGTCTCAAGCATTCAAAGCTGCTGTGCGGCCTAAAACCAGGATGTGGTTATCATATATAGCCTGCCTTTCCATAGTATTCTCCTCCAAGAATTTAATCTTCGGAGATTTCCATACCTCTGGCTTTACTCCATTGTTCAATAATCTTAGCCTCTTCTCTGAACCAGGCACTCCATTATAATTGTGGACCAGACTGTAAAACACCTTTAACCAAGTCTGTCCAGTTGTTAGGGATAATTGTATTACAAACTGACCATGAGTTTAACTTTTGTTTCACAAAAGGTGAATGCTTGCCATATGAGACTATTGCTTCCTTGAATCTCCTTAAATCTAACATTGGCACAGGAATCCAGTTAGCTGTAACAGAGCCTCTGCCATTTGGCAATTCCTTTAAGGTTACTGGATATATTAAGGTTGGTTGTTTGAAAATCTTAGGCTGTTCCTCTCTATTCTTATAATGCAGTGTTGACTCTATGAAATTCTTCTGTCTGGATTTGAATATCTCTATGATTTATTTGTTTTTCCTAAGGCCTGTATTTTAGCACTCAGATTAACCAACTATTAGTAATAAGACAAAAATGATAAAGCTGATGTTTACAATTGATATTACATAAATCCCATCTAAATTAGATATCCTCTCATTTAATCGTTCCATTTTTAAAATGTTTAGCATATTATTATACAGAGACCCAAATTTCTCCATTGTAATGGTTTTTCTCACTTATTTTTTATTTTGTAAAGCTTGAGTTGGTTTTTTTTGCATCTTCTTCATCCGTAAGATTTGTAGATTATAAATAAATTAAAAAAAAAAAGAAACCCTAAGATAACACTGCTACATATAAAATAAAAATGTCTTTAAAACAGGAAAAAAAAAATAAAGAAGGATGACACCAAAAAAAAAAAAAGATTTGTAGATTAGATTAGTGATATAGATGCCCATAGCTAAGGATAACTATGCCACGTTATTATTAAACTTATGTAGTTACTTAATATCAATAAAGAAATGATTTTGCCAAAAAAAAAAAACCAGCGAAATTATACAGCTGGGCATGGTGATGCATGCCTTCAGTTTCAGCATTTGAGAGGCAGAGGCAAGCAGATAGGTTTCTGAGTTTGAGGCTATCCTGGTCTATGCAGTGGTTTCCAGTACAGCCAGCCAATTTCAAAAACAAAGCAAAATAATAATAATAATAAATGTGGCTGAAAGTATAGAGAACTTGGAACCCTCATGCAATGCAAAAAAATTTTGCAGCAACTTTAGAAAACAATGGGTTTCAAAATCTCATTTCTTTTTTTTTAAATTTTATTTTTTTGATTTATTTATTTTTATTATGTATACAACATTCCTTCCATGTGTGCCTGCATGCCAGAAGAGGGCACCAGATCTCATTATAGGTAGCTATGAGCCACCATGTGGTTGCTGGGAATTGAACTCACGACCTTTGGAAGAGCAGACAATGCTCTTAACCTCTGAGCCATCTCTCCAGCCCCCCCTAAATGATCCTTTATTAAGAAATACGTTGGGGTCAGGCGGTCAGCACTTGGAAGGTAGAGACAGGTGGATCTCTGAGTTCAAGGCCAGCCTGGTTTACAGAGCAAGTTCCAGGTTATTTTTATCTTTGGAGGCCCACCACCCAACTCCCAAGTAAATACACAGAGACTTATACTTACTTATGAATGCCTGGCCTTAGCTTGGCTTGTTTCTAGCCAGCTTAATTTATTCCATCTACCTTTTACCTCTGGGTTTTTACCTTTCTCTGTTCTATATACCTCTCTTTCCTTCTTACTCATGGCTGGCTGGGTGGCTGGCTCCCAGTGTCATCCTTTCCTTTTCTTGTTTTTCCCTCTTCCCTCTCTCTCCTCTTATTTGTTCTCTTTGTCTGCCAGTCCCACCTATTTCTCTCTCCTGCCTAGCTATTGGACGTTTAGCTCTTTATTAGACCAGTCAAGCATTTTAGACAGCCAAAGTAACACAGCTTTACAGAATTAAACAAATGTAACATAAAAGAATGCATTTTTACATCATTAAACAAATGTTTTACAACAAAACCCTGTCTTGAAAAACAAAAGCTATGATGGAGCAATGATTTAAATGTTGCCCTGGTTTAGTACTTTAACAAAAACTATCATGAATGTTTTGAAGTTATGTTTGCTATGTAATTCACAATGGGAAATTTGAATCTTTGGGAAAATAAGATTTTTAAACTATCTTGAACAAATTTGTGCATTGGACCAAAATGAAAGAACTTTAAATTTGGTAGAAGTAAATTTACTGCCTTAATCATGGTTGAGGGGAGATTTACATTTTACATATAATGAATGATTTAGGCCTTAAATTTTTTAAATTAGATTTATTATTTTATTTTATGTGTGTTTTGCCTATATGTATGTCTGACTACATGTGTGCTTGGTGCCCTTGGAGGTCAGAAGAGGCTATCAAATCCCTTGGAACTGAAATTATGGATGGTTGTGAACCACCATGTGGGTGCTGGCACTCAAACCTGGTCTTCTGCAAGAGCAACAAGTGCTCTTCACTGCTGAGCCATCTCTTCAGCCCTGGGCATTTTCTTTAAAGCTGTCAACTAAAAACTAGAGGTCTGTAATCTTACTTATATTAACTAGGTCAAAGATGGTGATCTAATCAGATTTTTTTTTTCTGACCTAGAGCCTTGTATACATTACATACTTTTCTATAGAGTTTGTTTCTTAGGGCCTTGTGTGTAAACTTTTCTGAAATAAATATATTCACTTTTAGATGGCTCTTATGTATAAGAAGTTCAGAGAAGAGTCTTGTGAGTGTATATCCTAGGAAGAATGGGTTGAAGGCAGTGGAGACCTTGAATTTGACCGTGTATGTGTTATATGGACCAGCAGGTGTCTGAAGGGCCTTTCCTATAGAAAAGAGATTAGGTTTTATCTGTCTTACATGCCCGTAACGAAGAAGGCGATGCAGTGGATGGGAACTGTATGGAACAGTTTAAGCTGATGGAAAGAGCTGCTGTGGGAAATGGCAAAATGTAAGCTGTTGGTGTGGGGAACTTGTGTAGCTCTTCTAGAGTCGAGTTGTTATTTTTCTTCCCCAAGATATTGTACCTGAATGTACCATATAAGGATTTCTTAATTTGATTTTTGGCAAGATCTTGTCATCTACTTTATCTGTAGTATAGAAAAATATGGCCAAAAGTCATTATTTTGATAAGCCCTAATAATGATTAGAAAAGCTCCTCTTTGTGGTTTTGTATCAACTATTGTTATTACTTTAATTTAGTTTTTTTAATGAAGCAAAGTTGGAGTTTATTAAGAATCAGTTTTAGTACATATTTAATTACAGATATTAGGGGAGAGAGACAGTATTTAAAAAAGGATAGTATTTTAAAAAAGGAGTCGAACATGGTGACTCACACATGTAATCCAGCACTTTGTTTTGGGTTCTTGTTTTGTGTTCTTTTTAAAAAATGTGTTTTTATTAGCATATGTAAATTACTTATAATAATGGGTTTCATACATGTATATGATGTATTTTGATCATTATCCCTGTGTCCCCCCGACTCCTGCTGTTCTCCCTCCTCTTTCCAACTAGTTCCCCTTCTACTTTCCAGGAGTTTAGTTAGAGCTGCTTACAGCAACATGGCTGAGGGGTTATTTATTGCCACATCGGCACTTCCAGTGGCTTTTCCACTAATGAAAACCATTAACTGCCTGTATATCCTCAGGGGTGAGTGGGGCTTTGTGAGTTTTTCCCTCTTTCAAGTCAGAATGTTTATGAACCCAATCTTCTGCAGGTAATCCCAGCTGCTGAGAATTCAAGAGTGCAGTACTAGGTCTTGCCCAGAAGACAACATGCCGTATCACTCCACCTCTTCCTCTGGGCCTACTCGCCCATGCGTGCTATTCCCCAAGGGTTAACCTCCACTTACTCTCAGCCCTGGCCAGTTGTAAGCGTCTGTGGTAACTGTGGCCCACAGCAAAAAGAAACTTCTCTGATCAAAGATGACAGCAGTATTTATTCATCTATGAGCACAACATAAATATTTTTAGAAGGCAATTTGGTAGGGACTTTGTGTCCACTAAGCAATAAAAGAGAAGCACTTTGCCCACTAGAGCCTATGTTTATAGTCCTGACATGAGCTTCCTGTGGAGCAGCCTCTAATCGGAAGTCTATTCTCTCTCCTCTCTCTCTCTCTCTCTCTCTCTCTCTCTCTCTCTCTCTCTCTTTCTCTCTCTCTCTCTCTTTCTCTCTCTCATTTGGGACAGTAAGTATCCCATAGACTAGGCCAGCTTCAAACTTGTTCTATAACCAAGGCTGACCTTGAACTCCTTGTCTTCCTGATTCAACCTGGAATTATGAGCATGTGCCACCATGCTTGGCCTTGTTTTTAATATACTCATTAATTTTTGAGAAGATAAAATTTAGGAGCAAATGGTCTTTTGAACTTAATGAACTTGTTTTACTTTCCCTTGTAGATTTTCTCAAAGTCTCAGTCATCACGTGAGCACAGAGAGGGTAAAGTGCTGTGGACTGGTTGGTTCTGCTGTGTGTTTGGAGATAGTCTTCTGGAGACTGCTTCCAGAGACTTCACCTGTCTACCCTTGTTCCTTGCAAATGGAGCAGAGGCCAATACATCCTTGATTGGAGGCTGGTTTCAGAAGACTTTCGACTGTTGCTTCAGTCCTTTAGCAATCAGTGCATTTAATCTTTCCTGGATGGCTGCCATGTGGACTGCTTGTGAAATGGACCATTACACAGCTACCACTGAATTTTTTTGGTCTGTGCCCTGTAGCCCTCAAAGCTTGGATATTTCTTATGCAATTCATCCAGAGGATGCAAAAGCTTTATGGGACAGTGTCCACAAAACACCTGGGGAGATTACCCAGGAGGAAGTTGACTTATTTATGGACTGCCTTTATTCACATTTCCACAGGCATTTCAAAATTCACTTATCAGCCACAAGATTGGTTCGTGTCTCGACATCTGTAGCTTCAGCACACACTGATGGGAAAATAAAGGTTAGTTTGAACACATCTAATTAAATTCCTTCTTGTCATGTTTTCCATATGTGTGGTGATTATATTTTTACATGGGGAAATACACTTGACTGCATAGTAGTTCAAGACAATAGACTTATTTTCTGCTTTATACATGACCTCCCAATGCCTCTGACCACCTCGAGCCAGTCTTAAAGAGGAAGGGCACTGTGTACTGTGCACTGTAGAGCTGAATAATGTGAACTACCCTCAAGCAACTGAAATTTTCAAAATTGACAGATTTTGAAATAATTATTAAAGTAGCAACATTTTATGTGTGGGATAAGATTATAGCCAGTGACAGAATGCCATCTTTGCCTTTTAGATTTTTTTTAAATTGCTATTAGACAGGAAATCACAGAGAAATGGTTTTTATGTTCTATAAAGAAACAAATAGTTGGCTCCTAAGATATGTGTGTGTCTATATATATGTATAAATTTTTATTTCTGTACATGGGTGTTTTGCCTGCATGCATGTCTCTATGCACCATGTGTGTGCCGTGCCCATAAAGGACAGAAGACAAAACCTTTGGATGCACTGAAACTGGAGTTTGGTCGTGAGCTGTCATGTGGGTGCTGGAAATTGAATCTGGGTCCTCTGGAATAGCAGCCAGTGCTCTTAGCCACTAAGCTGTCGCTTCAGCCCTCTTAAGACATATTTAAATACATGTTTCTATATACATCCAAGGACTGTTTGCTATTATTTTGTCATTGTTAACACTCTTAACAGAGTTTAATTCTACCTTTTCTTTCTACTTTTAAATTTTTGATGTGTATTTGTCCTTTTGTGTGTATATGGTAGGAATTCAACATAGTGTCTTGAACACTGGGCAAGTACTCAGCCACTGAGCTCCATACCCTCTTTCTGTCGTATTTGTACATACCTATCTGCATGGTATGGCACAGAAAGTGAGTTATAGTAATTAGCACTCCTATCTCTATCTTATCCTAATTACTTTGAAAGAGTTAATAAATTATAGACTATAGTTACTCAACTGTGCTAAAAAACATTATAACTAATTCCTCCTAACTGGGTGTATTTTACTACCCATTATGTAACCCCACTCCATCTCTTAGCTGTTGGTGACCACTATTTTCTTCTATGAGATTTGTTTTGTTTTGAGGAAAGTTTTCATGTAGCCCAGGCTAGCCTTGAACTCATTAGCTGAAGATGATGTTGAATTCCCAATCCTCCTGCCTCCCCTCAAAAGTACTGGTATTATAGGTGTGTGCCACTACTCATCGGGATCAGTGTTCTTAGCTTTTACTCATGAATGACAGCATGCCGTATTTGTCTTTCTGGGCCTCGTAGATAGTAATTCTGATTTTTAGAACTACACTGTATTCTATGTTTTATTTTAAAACAAGGAAATCAAGGCCAGCATAAATTTAAGTGACACATTCAAGATAGAGCAGAAAGAAAAGGATGTATGGGGCTGGCATTGTGGGCATGGCATGGCTCAGTGGGTGAGGAGGTTTACTGCAGACCGATAGGATGAGCTGACTTTGGTCCTTGGACCCTACATGTTGGAAGTTAGCGTCTGACTCCCACACGTGCTGTGGCATGCACACACATCCACAAAGGCACAAAACAAACAATTTTTTATAAAAAAGAAAGGAGTCACTATTTGAACTGAGTACTGAATAACTCACATTTTTAAACTGGAGGTCAAGATGAAACAATAGGCTGGAAGTAATTTTGATAAGAAGAGCTAAGGATTAAAAACAAAAGGAACTTAATATAGTGGGGTATGCTTCTAATTCTAGCATTTGTCGGTAGAGGCAGGAGGGTCAGTAGTTCAAAGTCGTCCTTGGCAACAAAGGGAGTGCAAAGCTGGCACTGGCTACTTCACACCCTGTCTCAAAAAAACTAAAATTCGAACTGGAGAGATGACTTAGTGATTAGGAGCATGTACTGTTCTTTTGTTTGTTTGTTTGTTTGTTTGGTTTTTCGAGACAGGGTTTCTCTGTAGCTTTGGTGCCTGTCCTGGAACTAGCTCTTTTTTTTTTTTTTTTTGGTTTTTTGAGACAGGGTTTCTCTTGTAGACCAGGCTGGCCTCGAACTCCCAGAGATCCGCCTGCTTCTGCCTCCCGAGTGCTGGGATTAAAGGAGCATGTACTGTTCTTGCAGAGAACCTGAGAGTCTAGTTCCTAGTACTCATACTGGGTAGGTCACAACTACCTGTAACTTAGCTCCAGAAGAACTGGTCTTTTAAAATTGGTTTTAACCAGGCTCGGCTGGTGGAGAACTGCATTGCTCTCGCAGAGGATCTGAGTCTGGTTCCCAGCACCCACGCCAGGCAGTTCACAACTACCTGTAAATCCAGCTCTGGGAGAGCAGTGCCTCTGGCCTCTTGTGGCACTTGGATTCATGTGCGTATACCTACACACAACTATGTGATTAAATAAGTAAAATCAACAAAAACCAAGGCAAAAATAAAACAGAAAAAAAACCCAATATCAAATTGCTTTGTCATAATACTATCTTAATTGTAAATTTTTCTCTTTTTTTTCTTTTACAGATTCTGTGTCGTAAATACCTTATTGGTGTGTTGGCCTATATGACAGAACTGGCAATTTTTCAAATTGAGTGAATTCTAGTATGGACTCTAAGTGATGCATTATAAACCCTTTCAGTTACTTTCTGAGTTGCTATTCCAAGCGGGACAGTGGAAGAAATGTAGCACCTGTTTTCTCATGGTGTCTTTGGAGTTGCTCGAGTGGATCTGAAACACAGCAGCGGTCATGGGTGAGCCATGGTTATGTGCTTGTGTGTCCATAGATCACTGTGGTCCCGTTATGTATAAATGCTATAGAAGATGCTGAATTGTTAACATAAAAGTATCCAGCTTAATCAAATAAATATATCTAAAATCTGATGTTTCTGATTTAGGTTATTTATTCTGTTGGTGAGACTTGCCTCTATGGTTCTTTTTTAAGGTCTTCAATTTTCCATTTCCAGATTTCCCTCAGATTTTTTTTAAATTAATTATTATTGATTCTATTTCCACTTTTAGATCTTGAACTATTTTTATCAATTCTGCTCCACTATTTGTGTTTTCTTTTTTTTTCTTTTTCTTTTTCTTTTTTTTTTAAATTTATTTATTTATTAAGGATTTCTGCCTCGTCCCCACAACCGCTTCCCATTTCCCTCCTCCTCCCCCGATCAAGTCCCCCTCCCTCATCTGCTCGAAGAGCAATCAGGGTTCCCTGACCTATGGGAAGCCCAAGGACTGCCCACCTCTATCCAGGTCTCATAAGGTGAGCATCCAAACTGCCTAGGCTCCCACAAAGCCAGTACGTGCAGTAGGATCAAAAACCCACTGCAATTGTTCTTGAATTCTCAGTATTCCTCAATGTCCTCTATGTTCAGCTAGTCCGGATTTATCCCATGCTTTTTCAGACCTAGGCCAGCTGGGCTTGGTGAGTTCCCAATAGAACATCCCCATTGTCTTAGTGTGTGGGTGCACCTCTCGTGGTCCTGAGTTCCTTGCTCGTGCTCCGTCTCCTTCTGCTCCTGATTTGGACCTTGAGATTTCTGTCCGGTGCTCCCATGTGGGTCTCTGTCTCTGTCTCCTTTCATCGCGTGATGAAGGTTAATATTCATGAGGATGCCTATGTGTTTGTCTTTGGATTCACCTTCTTATTTAGCTTCTCTAGGAACATGAATTATAAGCTCAATGTCCTTTATTTAAGGCTAGAAACCAAATATGAGTGAGTACATCCCATGTTCCTCTTTTTGGGTCTGGCTTACCTCACTCAGGATAGTGTTTTCTATTTCCATCCATTTGTATGCAAAATTCAAGAAGTCCTTGTTTTTTACTGCTGAGTAATACTCTAATATGTATATATTCCATACTTTCTTCATCCATTCTTCCGTTGAAGGGCATCTAGGTTGTTTCCAGTTTCTGGCTATTACAAACAATGCTGCCATGAACATAGTTGAGCATATACTTTTGTTGTATGATAGGGCCTCTCTTGGGTATATTCCCAAGAGTGGTATTGCTGGATCCAGGGGTAGGTTGATCCCGAATTTCCTGAGAAACCGAAACACTGCTTTCCAGAGTGGTTGCACAAGTTTGCATTCCCACCAGCAATGGGTGAGTGTACCCCTTTCTCCACAACCTCTCCAGAAAAGGCTATCATTGGTGTTTTTTATTTTAGCCATTCTGACAGGTGTAAGGTGGTATCTTAAAGTTGTCTTGATTTGCATTTCCCTGATCGCTAAGGAAGTTGAGCATGACCTTAAGTGTCTTTTGGCCATTTGAAGTTCTTCTGTTGAGAATTCTCTGTTCAGCTCAGTGCCCCATTTTATAATTGGGTTGATTAGCCTTTTGCGGTCTAGTTTCTTGAGTTCTTTATATATTTTGGAGATCAAACCTTTGTCAGTTGCGGGGTTGGTGAAGATCTTCTCCCAGTCAGTGGGTTGCCTTTTTGTCTTAGTGACAGTGTCCTTTGCTTTACAGAAGCTTCTCAGCCTCAGGAGGTCCCATTTCTTCAATGATGCCCTTAGTGTCTGTGCTGCCGGGGTTATACGTAGGAAGTGGTCTCCTGTGCCCATGTGCTGTAGAGTACTTCCCACTTTCTCTTCTATCAGGTTCAGTGTGTTCAGACTGATATTGAGGTCTTTAATCCATTTGGACTTGAGTTTTGTGCATGGTGATTGATATGGATCTATTTTCATTCTTCTACAGATTGACATCCAGTTTTGCCAGCACAATTTGTTGAAGATGCTCTCTTTTTTCCATTGTATACTTTTAGCTCCTTTATCGAAAATCAGGTGTTCATAGGTTTGTGGGTTAATGTCAGGGTCTTCTATTCGATTCCATTGGTCGACTTCTCTGTTTTTATGCCAATACCAAGCTGTTTTCAATACTGTAGCTCTGGAATAGAGTTTGAAGTCAGGGATGGTAATGCCTCCAGACAATCCTTTATTGTATAAGATTGTTTTGGCTATCCTGGGTTTTTTGTTTTTCCATATAAAGTTGATTATTGTCTTCTCCAGATCTGTGAAGAATTTTGATGGGATTTTGATGGGGATTGCATTGAATCTATAGATTGCTTTTGGTAGAATTGCCATTTTTACTATGTTGATCCTCCCAATCCAAGAACAAGGGAAGTCTTTCCATTTTCTGGTGTCTTCTTCAATTTCTTTCTTCAAAGACTTATAGTTCTTGTCAAGTAGATCTTTCACTTCCTTGGTCAGAGTTACCCCAAGATATTTTATGCTATTTGTGGCTATCGTGAAAGGTGATGCTTCTCTGATTTCCCTCTCTGCTTCCTTATCTATCTTTAGTGTATAGGAAGGCAACTGATTTTTTGGAGTTGATCTTGTATCCTGCCACATTACTAAAGGTGTTTATCAGCTGTAGGAGTTCTTTGGTAGAATTTTTGGGTCGCTTATGTACACTATCATATCATCTGCAAATAACGAAAGCTTAACTTCTTCCCTTCCAATACGAATCCCCTTGATCTCCTTATGTTGTCTTATTGCTATTGCTAGAACTTCAAGCACTATGTTGAAGAGGTATGGAGAGAGTGGACATCCTTGTCGTGTTCCTGATTTTAGTGGGATGGCTTTGAGTTTTTCTCCGTTTAATTTAATGTTAGCTGTTGGCTTGCTGTAAATAGCTTTTATTATATTTAGGTAGGACCCTTGTATCCCTATTCTCTCCAAGGCCTTTATCATAAAGGGGTGTTGAATTTTGTCAAATGCTTTTTCAGCATCTAATGAAATGATCATATGGTTTTTTTCTTTCAGTTTATTTATATGCTGGATTACATTGATAGATTTTCGTATGTTGAACCAGCCCTGCATCTCTGGGATGAAGCCTACTTGATCATAATGGATAATTTTTCTTATGTGTTCTTGGATTCGGTTTGCCAGTATTTTATTGAGAATTTTTGCGTCGATGTTCATGAGTGAGATAGGTCTGTAATTCTCTTTCTTGGTTGGGTCTTTGTGTGGTTTTGGTATCAGGGTAACTGTAGCTTCATAAAAGGAATTTGGCAATGACTCTTCTGTTTCTATATTGTGAAATACATTAAGGAGTATAGGTATTAGTTCTTCTTGGAAGTTCTGGTAGAATTCTGCATTGAAACCATCTGGTCCTGGGCTTTTTTTCGAAGGGAGATTTTTGATAACCATTTTTTTTTATTTAAATTTATTTATTTATTAAGGATTTCTGCCTCGTCCCCACAACCGCTTCCCATTTCCCTCCCCCTCCCCCGATCAAGTCCCCCTCCCTCATCTGCTCGAAGAGCAATCAGGGTTCCCTGACCTGTGGGAAGCCCAAGGACTGCCCACCTCTATCCAGGTCTCGTAAGGTGAGCATCCAAACTGCCTAGGCTCCCACAAAGCCAGTACGTGCAGTAGGATCAAAAACCCACTGCAATTGTTCTTGAATTCTCAGTATTCCTCAATGTCCTCTATGTTCAGCTAGTCCGGATTTATCCATGCTTTTTCAGACCTAGGCCAGCTGGCCTTGGTGAGTTCCCAATAGAACATCCCCATTGTCTTAGTGTGTGGGTGCACGCCTCGTGTTCCTGAGTTCCTTGCTCGTGCTCCGTCTCCTTCTGCTTCTGATTTGGACCTTGAGGTTTCTGTCCAGTGCTCCCATGTGGGTCTCTGTCTCCATTTCTAATTCTTCGCAAGTAACCGGTCTATTTAGATCATTCACCTGGTCTTGGTTTAGCTTTGGTATGTGGTACTTATTTAAAAAAATGTCCATTTCTTTTGTATTTTCCAGTTTTGTGGCATACAGGCTTTTGTAGTAAGATCTAATGATTCTCTAAATTTCCTCTGTGTCTGTGGTTATGTCCCCCTTTTCATTTCTGATCTTATTTATTTGCGTGTTCTCTCTCTGTCGTTTAATTAGTTTGGATAGGGGTTTGTCGATCTTGTTGATTTTCTCCAAGAACCAGCTTTTTGTTTCATTGATTCTTTGGACTGTTTTCTGTGTTTCTATTTTGTTGATTTCAGCCCTCAGTTTTATTATTTCCAGTCTTCTACTTCTCCTGGGCGTGTCTGTTTCTTTTTTTTCTAGTGCTTTCAGGTGTGTTGTTAAGTCCCCAATGTATGCATTCACCGTTTTCTTTAAGTGGGCACTTAGTGCTATGAACTTTCCTCTTAGCACTGCTTTCATTGTGTCCCATAGGTTTGAGTATGTTGTCCCTTTATTTTCATTAAATTCAAGGAAGACTTAAATTTCTTTCTTTATTTCTTCCTTGACCCAGGTGTGGTTCAGTAGTTGACTGTTCAGTTTCCATGAGTTTGTGGGTTTTTTGGGGGGCAGCGTGGTTGTTGCCTTCTAACTTTAATCCGTGATGATCTGATAAGACACAGGTGGACACTGATATTTGTTTGTATCTGTGGAGGTTTCCTTTGTTTTCGAGTATGTGGTCAATTTTTGAGAAGGTTCCATGAGCTGCAGAGAAGAAGGTATATTCTTTCCTATTTGGGTGGAATGTTCTGTAGATGTCTGTTAAGTCCATTTGCTTCATTACCTCCAATAATTCTCTTAATTCTCTATTAGGTTTCTGTCTGATTGACCTGTCCCTTGGAGAGAGAGGTGTGTTGAAGTCTCCTACTACTAGTGTGTGTGGTTTGATGTCTGCCTTGAGTTCTAGTAATATTTCTTTTACATAAGTAGGTGCTTTTATATTGGGGGCGTATATATTCAGGATTGAGACGTCCTCCTGATGAATTGTTCCTGTTATGAGTATAAAGTGACCATCTCGGTCTCTTCTGATTGATTTTAGTTTGAAGTCAGTTTTGTTAGAAATTAGTATGGCCACACCTGCTTTTTTCTTAGGACCATTTGCTTGAAACACCTTTTCCCAACCCTTTACTCTGAGTAGGTGCCTGTCTTTGTGGTT